TTTTTATTTTGTTTTTATTTCTATTTTTGTTTTATTTTATTTTATTTTATTTTAATTGAACTGTCCTTGCAGTGCTGAAGAAGCGCCTGGTGAAGCTCGTGGTGAACTTTCTCTTCTACTTCAGGACAGACGAGGCCGAGGTATGGAATGTGCTCCTGGGTGGGATTTGCTTCCCTCCCTCTTCCTGCTTTTTCCTGTGGATTGATCGTGTGGGAAAACGGGGCTGGGACAGAGTGTCCACCTTTCCTCAGCTCAGCAGGGCTCCAGGAGAGCTGAGAGGGACCTGGGACAGGGGATGGAGGGACAGGACACAGGGAATGGCTTCCCACTGCCAGAGGGCAGGGAGAGATGGGATGTTGGGAAGGAATTCCTCCCTGGGAGGGTGAGGAGGAGCTGGGATGGAATTCCCAGAGCAGCTGTGGCTGCCCCATCCCTGGGAGTGTCCAAGGCCAGGTTGGATCAAAGGAGCAGCCTGGGCTGGTGGGAGGTTTCCCTGCCCATGGCAGGGGTGGGACTGGATGGGCTCTGAGGTCCTTCCAGCCCAAATGTTCCATGGAATGTGCAGTAAAGGAGGTTTCCAGGCCCTTCCCTGCCTGGTTTGAGTCTCTCACGTTGAGTCTCTTGGACAAGAATTCCCAGGGGGTTGCTCCTGTTCCAGGCCACGTCACCCCCTGTCCCTGCTCAGCACGGTGTCTGTGTGTCCCTCCAGTGTCTGTGTGTCCCTCTGGAGCTGTTCCAGCTCCCCACATTCCCCTCCAGCCCTGCCCCGGCACAGGGGGCTTGTTGTGTGTCCCAGGGACAGTTCAGTTGTGTCTCAGTTACTGGGCGAGGAGGTTCTTTGCTGCCTTCACACCCCAGCAATGAGCAGCGAAGGCCAGGCTGACTCTGAGCCGGTGGAGGTGATTAACACCTAATTAACACATGCAAAGTGCTGCAAGTGAGACCGGCACTGGAGGCACGGCAGCAGCACAAAAAGGTGATTAAAGGGTTGTGGAACATCCTGCAGTCAGATCGAATTATTGCAGAGTAGCACCAGGGTGTCAAACTTGCCTGAAAGGCTCCAGGGAGACGCTGTGGGGTCAGTGCTGGGGGAACTGTGGGTTAAACCCTCTCTCCATGTGTTTTCCAGCCCATTGGAGCTCTGCTGCTGGAGCACTGCAGGATCACCAAAGAGGAGGAGAACGTCTTCTCCATCAGTGAGTGCTGCCTGGGCACCATCCCTGGGCCTTTCCCCCTGGGCAGAGGGAAAGGAGGTGTTTTGCTGCTCGATTCCTGCTGCTCTGGTGGCAGTGGGGTCAGCTCAGCCCTGCCCTCCTCTGTGGGGTCAGTGCCCCTCACCCTTCCCCTCCTCAGTGGGGTCAGTGCCCCTCAGGTGAGTTTGGTCTCTGCTCCCAGGGAACAAGCGACAGGACAAGAGGAAACAGCCTCAAGTTGTGCCAGGGGAGGTTTAGGTGGAATATTAGGGAAAATTTCCTCCTGGAAAGGGTGTTCAGGCTGCCCGGGGCAGTGGTGGAGCCGCCATCCCTGGAAGTGTCCAAAAACCGTGTGGATGTGGCACCTGAGGACGTGGTTTCGTGGTGCACGTGGTGGTGCTGAGTTCGTGGTTGGACTTGATGATCTTGAAGATCTTTTCCAACCTTAACGATGCCATGGTTCTATCCCTCAGCTGCCAGCTGTCCCTCCCTGTGCCACGTCCCCTCCCGAGCCCGGGGCCATTCCAGGGATCCTGCAGGGCCGGAGCAGTGTGGGCTTTGCTCAGTGCACGTGCAGAGCAGCCAGAAATCCCTCCTTGGGGAGGGGGGGTTTACTGACAGATCTCTGCTGTGCTGCTGCATTTTGTCCAACCCCCCCAGTGGTCTCAGATAAAGCCTCCAGGGGCTGCTCCTGCCCTGTGCTCCTGCCCTGTGCTCCTGCCCTGTGCTCCTGCCCTGCTCCGTGTCCTTGTGGCGATACCGCGGCTCCAGCTGGATCCGTGTCCCCCGGGAGGGCCTTTCATCCCACACGTGCTGACAACAACAGGATGTTCCTCCAAGGCCGTCCCTGTATCTTTTGGCCTGGCTGCAGGGCACAGCTGTGTCTCCTCCCTGGGGCTCCCCCTGCCCCACAGGGCCCCCGAGCAGCCCCAGTCCCGCTGAGTTTGGGGGTTTGGGGCTGTCTGTGGGGAGAAGAGCAACAGGGCTGGGGAAGGGACTGGAGCACAAGTGCTGTGAGGAGAGGCTGAGGGAGCTGGGGCTGTTCAGCCTGGAGAAGAGGAGGCTCAGGGGAGACCTCCTCACTCTCTACAACTCCCTGACAGGAGGGGGGAGCCAGGGGGGGGTTGGTCTCTTTTCCCAGGCAACTCTCAGCAAGACAAGAGGGCTCAGGGTCTTCAGCTGTGCCAGGGGAGGTTTAGGTTGGATATTAGGAAGAATTTCTTTCCAGAGAGGGTGATCACCCATTGGAATGGGCTGCCCAGGGAAGTGGTGGATTCTCCATCTCTGGAGGTTTTTAAGATAAGACTGGATGTGGCATCAGTGCCATGGGCTGGGAACCACAGTGGGGTTGGATCAAGGGTTGGACTTGATGATCTCGGAGGTCCCTTCCAACCCAGCTGATTCTGTGATTCTATGATTCCTGAGGGAGGGAAGGGTTAAACCCCCCAGCAGCCGTGTGGGGCTGGGGCTGTGCCACCCTTGGTGCAGCCTGACCCCTGAGGGGCTGTGCAGGGCAGAGCTCTGGGCTCAGGAATTGCTGAGATTCCCAGTTCTGCCCTGCACAGGACCGGAGCTGCACAGGGATTTGCACAGCACCACATTCCCAAAAGCCTCCAGCAAAGGCAGCTCAGGGCCCTCTCCCAGTGCAGTTCAACTCCTCAGGGGCTGCTCTGTGCCTGCATCCCAGGCCCTTCCTCAGGGCTGTTTTTCCCTTTCATTTAAATCCCCGGAGGCTTCCCAAGGAGCCTCAGGGAGTTCCAGTCCCAGATCTGCTCCAATTCAGTTGCTGCCATCTGGGAAGTTGCTGTTCCTGAGGTCTTTGGCTGCTGGAAGCTGACAAATGCCCCGGGCAGCTGCTCCAGGGCAGCCAGAGCAGGGAGGGAACAGGAGAGGGTCCAGGGCCGGGGTTCCCAACTCGCTTCCAGCTCATCCTCGTTAACAGAGGTGCTAATTGAGCCTGGCAGGGGAGCACAGGCTGCTCCCCTCGAGCCTTTTCCTTGTTCCTGGCAGGTTTCATCGAGGAGCCAGAGAGGAAATACTGCTTCGAGTGTGCCAGTGAGGAGCAGTGCCAGGAGTGGGTCGAGGCCCTCAAACGAGCCAGGTGGGAAGAGCCGCCGGAGCGAGGCTGTGCCAGGAGCTCTGGGATCAGCCTGGGGGGGAACCCGGGAGCACAGGGCTTGTCTCCTCCCAAACCAGCTTCCCCCCAGCCCTAAATAGCACCTGAAACTTGCCCACATCCTCCCGTGCTCAGCAGGGTCTGTTCCTGTCTTGCAGCTACGAGTTCCTGAGGAGGAGCCTGATCTTCTACCGGAATGAGATCCAGAAGATGACGGGGAAGGTAAGTGAGGCCCTCGGGGTCAGGTGGTGACTGATGGGTTTGGACAGGAGCTGGGGATTGTGGGTGTTGCTGCCAGTCCTGCACAGGCTGTTTGATCTGGAGGGAGATCCCAGATTCCATGGGGAGCCGTGGGCTCCACAGCCGGACCCGAGCACCTTCCTGTGCCATGCTCGCTCTGACCCTCGGGCACACACTGCCATGCTGGGGGGGCCAAGAATTGGAGCTGGACAGGCCTGCCTGGGCTCCCAGCAGGTCTCTGGAAGAGTTCACCCCCAGCCCTGGCCAGATTTGTGGGTGGAGATGCTGCTCCCACCCTGCCAGGCCCCTCGGAGCGTCCCTGCTCCAGGTGACTCCCTGTGCCCACAGCCCCTGGTCACCTGCTGTGTCCTGTGTCCTCCCCAGGAGCTGCTGGACTTCCTGCACCCCTTTATCTGCCTCTCACTGCTGCCTCCCTGTGCTCTCCTGCAGGACCCCCTGGAGCAGTATGGGATCTCGGAGGAAGCCCGTTTCCAGCTGGGAAAACGCCAGCAGGAATTCCCTCACCTGGGCTGAACTGGCTCCTGAGTCCTGAGCAGGCTCCCCAGGGCCACCCCAACCCCTGGGAAGGACAGCAGAGCCCCACAGTGACCAAGGGACTCTTTTATTTATTACCTAAATCATTTTTTATTCTTTTTTTTTTTAAGGGAATTCCTTGTACATTCCCTTGTACACTCCAGCTGTGGAGGCTGAACTGCTCCCTTGGGGTGGGAGCAGAACCCCCTGGCCCCTGGGATGACAGAGCTCCCAGCATCTGATGTCCTCCAGGGCCTGGAGCTGCTGGAGCTCCAGCCCTTCTCCTGCTCCTCCCTGTCCCTCTCCTGAAGGAGCTGCTGGGCTTTCCTGGCTCAGGATCTTCCCTCAGTCTCCAGGGAGCCCCTGGGGCTGTAAGAGGATGCTGTGATCACATCTCTGTGCTCCAGGGTTAACCCCCTCCTGTCCTGGCCTCTCCTGCTCCTGCAGAGCCATTCTGGGGGCTGATGGCTGAGCTGGTGAGCAGGGAGGACTGGGAATGCTCCCAGTAACACTGGGAATGCTCCCGGTAACACTGGGAATGCTCCCGGTAACACTGGGAATGCTCCCAGTAACACTGGGAATGCTCAGCCACAGCTCCAGCTGCCAGGCAGGAGCCATCTGCTCCCCTGTGCCGAGGCAGCAGCTCTGGGCAGCCGCTGGCACTTGCCTTTGGGGGTTTTCTTTTCCCTTCCCTGGGCAGGTGTTGTGATTCCTGGGGGCTGGAGGAGCCCTCACTCCAGCCCAGCCGAGGGTACGAAGGGAACAGTCGGGAACAGGGACAGGGAGGGATCCCTGTGGGCTCCTGCCCCTCTGCAGAGCTGTGGGCTGAGCTCTGATGCAGCTTCCCAGGGAGGAAAGGCAGATGGAGAGGTTGGCAAAGGCAGGAGCTGCTCCCTCTGGCTGCAGGTTTGGGCTGCAGGGGGTGAGTTCAGCCGGGCATGAACCCTCCAGGCCCCGAGCCACGGCTGCAGCTGCAGCTGCTCCCCCTTTGGGAGCATCCAAAGGGACAGACCAAACACTGCCAGGGCTGCCAGGGAACCAGGGCTGCCAGGGAACCAGGGCTGCCTCCCTGGGGCTCCGGGAAGGAGAAGAGAAGGGTTTAGGAGCAACATCCCCACCCCACCAGCTGTGGCTGCAGGGAGGAAAACTGCCCAGAGAGGAGGGAGGGAGGGAGGACCCTCCCCACAGCCAGGGCTGCAGGACACCCACATTCCTTGCTGCCACAGCAGCTCCCCTGGGACCAGCCCGGGAAAAACCCCAGGAAAAGCCCCTGGGAGGGTCCCAGGTGAGACTGTCGGAGGGTTGGTGGCAGAAGGAACAGGGAGGGGTCTGAGCTTTGGGAGCTGCAGCTCTGGGTGTTGTTCCCCTCCAGGGTGGGTGGAGCAGCCTCTGAGCTGGGCTGGAAGGGAAGTTGTGGGTCTTTTCCTCCTTGGCTGGGAATAAATGCCCAAAGAAGAGCTTTAGTGGCCTGGGCTTCCCTCTTTACCTCTCACTGCTGGGTGCCAGGGCAGTGACAGCTGTCACTGAGGCTTTATTTTTAAACTCAAAGCCAAGATTTTTCCCTTTTTCCTTCCCCACATCCTCCCTTTCCCTTGAATCAATCCAGGTGCTCCAAAAATCACCAAAATGGGCTGAGGGGCAGCTGCCCTGCAGGAGGAGCCAGGGCAGGGAGCAGGAGCCAGGGGGCATTTGCAGACAGATGGCAGCTCCAGGGGAAGCAGCAAGGAGGGATTAAAAGCAGGAACCCACAGGAGCTTGTGCTGGAGGGAATTGGTGTCCTCAGATGGCTTTGAAGTGCATTTTAATCCTCACCAGCTCTGCTTTCCCTCAGTGCAGGGGCACCCTTGACCTGGAGGGGGGGACAGGGCAGCTTTTACTGTGAAAAGTGTCTGGTCACTGGGGAGAGGATGGATGGGAGGATTCCTGCTTGGCAGTGGGATAACTGGAGCTGGGATGAGCATGGGCTCCCCCACAGCTCCATCCCACAGCCCCTGCCCTCCAGCTCCGGGGGCAGAACAGCCCCAGGATCAGGCTCAGCTCTGCATCACTGGATCCTTCCACATGCAGTTTAACCCAAACCTCGGGAATTCTGCCAAGCTTGGGGCGTTTTTAGCACGCAGAGCTGTGTCCTGGTCCTGGAGCAGGACTGGGCAACCCTTCCCCACTGGCACTGGGCAGGAAAGGGGCATTTCAGGTGCTGTTCTGGGGCACAAGAGCAAACCTCGACCCTTGCTCAAGAGGCACCAGTGACATTTCTTAACTGAATGTAAAAAAAATGCTGTGAAGGGTTCCAGGGTCCAGGAGCTCAGATCCTTGCTGGGGCAGGGCTGGCACATGGGGGGGGGGTTGTTCAGCTTTAAGGGGAGATGGTGCTTGTAGACACTCCAAAATCTGCATCAACTGCTGGTGATTTATAGACAATTGATCGTTTTTCACACTTGGGGTTTTGTATTTCAGTCAGAGCTGGGTCCAGGCTCCCCCAGAGCCATTTCTCTGTTGTATGTTGCCAATAAATCTTGGTTTAATCCGTGTGCTGCTCAGAGCTGTCCTAAGGCACAGAGCCTTGGCAGGGAGGGGGGGGTTGCAGGGCTCTCACCTGAGCACCAGCAGCTCCAGGGGGTGTCCAGGGGATCTCCTCCCCCTGGAGCAGGAGCAGGGATGGGGGGAAGGTGCCTCTCCAGGAGCCAGCTGGGGGTGGCTCCATGATGGGGTTTGGAGAGGATTCTCCATGGAACAGTTTGGGTTGGAAGGGACCTCTGAAGGTCACCTGATCCAGCTGATGGTTGGTGGTGGAGCCAAGGGGCAGCTCCAGCCACAAACATGTTTGGGATGAGCTGGGTCAGGCCCAGCAGAGCCGGGAGCTGGGAAGGGTCCGGAATCCAGGGCTGGTCCTTGGTTTAGGAATTGTGGAGTGAATTAACTCCCCTGGCTGATGGCTTAACTCCACTGCTGCCACTGCTGGGTAAACGGGAATGTCACTGGGAGGGGTTGGGAATCACGGGATCATTTAGGTTGGAAAGACCTCAGCGAGTCCAACTGTCCCAGCACTGCTGAGGCACCACTGACCCTGTCCCAGGGGCCACATCCACGTGTTTTTGAACACTCCCAGGGATGGGGACTCCACCACTGCCCTGTGCCAGCGCTTTACAACCTTTTCCATGGAGAAATATTCCCTAATATCCAATCTAAACCTCTCCTGGCACAACTTGGGGCTGTTCCCTCTCATCCTGTCCTTTGTTCCCTGGGAGCAGAGCCTGACACCCCCCCAGCTCCCCCCTCCTGTCAGGGGGTTGCAGAGCCAGAAGGTCCCCCCTGAGCCTCCTTTTCTCCAGGCTGAGCCCCCCCAGCTCCCTCAGCTGCTCCTGCTGCTCCAGCCCCTTCCCCAGCTCCGTTCCCTTCCCTGGACACGCTCCAGCCCCTCAATATCCTTGTCTTGAGGGGCCCAGAGCTGCCCCCAGGCCCCCCCAGGCCCTCAGAGCTGAAGGTGGTCCCTAATCCAGGTCAGAGGGTCTCTGTCCCTCCTGTGCCACCAGGTGCCCAAATCCCATTTCCTGGCCCCAATTCCAGGCCCTTCTGACCCAGTGAAACTCCACAAGATCTCGGTGTATTAAAATACAGACACTTTAATATAAAGACAAAACTTCAAAGCATCGTTTCAATTACAAATCAAGGGAGAGACACAAGAAATTAAGTGGAGGGAGTGGAGCAAAAACTAACTCTTACATTGTGGAGAATTAGAAAGGCAGGGTGGAAATATATATATTATACATACATATATACACAGCAGAATTCACACTATTTCTATGGAGGAATGAAAGGAATGACAGGACAACTTACCAGTATAAAATAAAATAAAATAAAATTAAAAAAAAATCCCAAAAAAAAGATAAATTAGGGGAAGTTTGAATTTTAAATAATTCAGTTTAATAGGCTAAATTATATAAACTAATTCCTATTCACTAGGAAACATCCCATATCACTGTCCTAAGAAAATGGGTTTTTCAAAAAAATCCATTGGGAAATGGACTTTTATTAGTAGTTAAAAGTTTACTAATCAATTCCTGAGCAACAGCAACCTCATCCTCTACTGCTTTCCCCATCCAAGTCCCACTCAGCGAGGGCAGGCTCTCACTCCTAAAAAGTTTAAGTAGAACAGAGACCTAAAGAGTTGGGTTTTAATTGGAAAAAATCGATCACTTCAAAGATTAATAGGTTAAAAAAGCCAAGCAGGATGGACCAACCCATTCCACCTGTTCCTCAATAACTCCAGAGATGAGACCTTTTAAAAAACGATTTGACTGCACCAGAAAAGCAACCAGATGTACCTTGAGAAAACCAAAGGACCACAAACCTGAGAACTTCAGGGTCAGCATCTCCCAGCTTGGAATTTCAGGGTGTGATTTTGTTTTTACACCATAAAAAACTCAGGGAGCCTCTTCAGGAAGAAGGTCCCAAACAGCAAAAGTACTGGAGAAGTACCTCCCATTTTTTTTTGTCTCGGGTTTAAACCCTGAAGTTCTCAAAAAACAGCATCTTTTAATGCAATATTCAGTCTAAATAGATATTTATATATTTATAACGCATAAGGATAAATAAAATATGGCACAACAACATTTTGAAACTGGTTCTCCAGCTTTTAGTGAAAACCTGATCCACAAACTACAGAAATGGAGCAAAAAAAAAGGAAAGAAAAAAACCTCTTTAAAACCAGTAAAACTTCAAATCCTCATTCACTGACTGCACATCTGTGCTCCCAAAACTCCAACTCCTGGGAGTTTTTCCTCAGTGCTGCAAAGATAGTTCACAAAAACACTGTCTGGTTTCTGCTCCCCGAATGATTTTCCAACATTGAGGGTTCACAGCCTTGTCCAACGTCCTCCCCTGCTCCAGAGGCACCAGAGCCTGGAGCTCCCAGTCCTGACTCCTCTCTGTGCTTTTGGCTCAGGCAAAACAACAACAAAAGCAGAATTTTCCACCACAGCCACTGGCGGGAGTTGGGAGAACTCCAAGGTGGAGTTATCCAAGAAAAAATAACATGGAGAATCCCCCGGGTAAAGGGTGAGTTTCAGCACCAGAATAATCGGGTTCTGCAGGACGTGACCAACCAAAGCCACCTTGGCATCAGCACCAGGACAAAGCACCCAATCCCAAGGGATTCCATGAGCAGCACCCACTGGCTCCGTGGGGACAGTGACCCCTGTTCCCGGGGCTCGGGGGTGCTCAGCACCAGCTCCAGACCCAGCCCAGGAGGGGAGGAAGGGCCAGGACAGGAATCACCACCAGCAGCTGGAGAACAAACTCCCAGCACTGGGAATCTCCTCCAGCAATGGGCAGGAGCGGGGCAGGGAAGCAGGAGCATCCCGAGGGCACAGGTCCCACAGATCCCACAGGTCCCACAGATCCCACAGGTCCCACGGGGGGCCCTGGGGGAACTCGGGGAGCTGGAAGCACTTGCTGGCCCTGAGTGTGTGTCCCACCTGAGCCAGAGCCAGGAGTTCCCTCTGCACCCCCAGGGAC